AAAAGTAGAAGAAATCACCAATGTTTGAGTTTTTTGCCTTTTTTTTTTTTTTTAAATTGATGGAGTCATTTACTGCTCTTCAAGAGAAAATCAGTTTAGAATCCAAAGAAAGGACCAGGGAGGAAGAAGGAAACTACACTTACGCAGTTAAGCTGCCTTTTTTTTTATTAAATTAATGTTAGAAGTTTAATTATGTGAAACAAAATGATGAAGGAAAAGATGATGTTTTCCCAATTATAAAATATCTCTTTCAAATGAACAAAATGTAAATTAAAAAAAAAAACCAGCTAAATTTTAAAGTAGAATTACTGAGGACCACAGAACAATTTTGAAACCAAGTTAATTAAAGGGGAGACAGCTCATTTGTTATCAGTTCCCTGATTTTACTTAAGAAAAAATAGTTAATTCGTTTTATTTCTGTTTTGACACTTGTTGAAACTAGAGACAGTTCATTACTGTACTACTGCCCAAACCGTTAAGAAAGATGAATGACAGATTTTAATGAGTGGACAATGGGTACAAAAGTTAATTTGTTTTGTCTCCCTCAGAAGTCTTTTCTCAACTTTATGCCATGACTGAGCTGCTCAGCCTCTTGTGCCCATTCTCCTGACCAGATCCAAACATGGAAGAGTGAAGTATAAATCCTAGTTACATGCTCTTTAACCTGTGAACTTAAGTCCTAATCTCCCTACCCTAACAACAAAAAGGGACCAGGGACCGGGACACTTAAGCTATCCTTAGGGATTTTTTTCTTTAGGCCTCTGTATTCTACTTACACTGCTTATGTCTTTTGCTCCAATCAAAGCAAACCTTCAGTAGCTTTTAGTGGCTTACATTTCTAAAATAAATTTGTATGCACATATTCTTATGATTTATTATTTGAGCAGTATTTGAAGACTATGGTTTCTTGAATCTAAAACAATCTGAAAGTGCTGTTTCTTTTGTTGTTGTTCTAATTAGTTATACATGACAGTAGAATGCATTTTGACCCATCATACATAAATGGAGTGTAACTTTTTATTTTTCTATCCATCATGTATTCATATATGCACATAGTGTAATAATATCTGATTCATTCCACTGTCCTTCCTATCCCCCACCCCCTCTCCTCCTTTCACTCCCCTCTATCTAATCCAAAGTACCTCTATTCTTCCCTAGCACCCCCATCCCAATTATGAATTAGCATCCTCATATCAGAAAATATTCAGCCTTTGGTTTTGGGGGATTGGCTTATTTCACTTAGCATGATATTCACCAGCTCCATCCATTTACCAGCAAATGCCATGATTTCATTCTTACCTTAAGACTGAGTAATAATATTCCACTGTGTATATGTACCACATTTTCTTTATCCATTCTTCTATTGAAGGGCACATAGGTTGGTTCCATAGTTTAGCTATTGTGAATTGAGCTGCTATAGACATTGATGTGGGTACATCATTGTAGTATGCTGCTTTTAAGTCCTTTGGGTGTACACTGAGGAGTGAGATAACTGGGTCAAACGGTGGTTCCATTTCAGTTTTTCTGAGGAATCTCCATACTGCTTTCCATAGTGGTTGCCCCAATTTGCAGTCCCACCAGCAGTGTATGAGTGTACATTTTCCCCCGCATTCTTACCATCATTTATTATTGCTTGTATTCTTTATAATTGCTATTCTGACTGGAGTGAGATGGAATCTCGGTGTGGTTTTGATTTGCATTTCTCTAATTGCTAGAGATGTTGAACACTTTTTCATATATTTATTGATAGATTATATTTCTTCTTTTGTGAAGTGTCTATTCAATTCCTTTGCCCATTTATTGACTGTGTTGTTTGCTTTTTGTGTTAAGTTTTTTGAGTGCTTTGTGTATCTTGGAGATTAATACTCTCTGTGAGGTGAATGTGGTAAAGATTTTCTCCCATTCTGTATACTCTGTCTTTGTGTTATTGACTCTTTCCTTTGCTGTGAAGAAGCTTTTTAAAGTACTGTTTCTAACCTGACTAAAAATCATAGAAATTGTACTGGAAGGTCTGTTTTCCTGAGATCTTGCCAGTTTTTGGAGAACAGAAACTAGAAGTCTTTCCATATAAAGAATATATTATTACCTGTTTGTATTTATATATATCATATATTTTTTATATTTTAAGACAAATATAATAGTTCAGCAACAGATAGTTCAGTTCCGGAATTATACTGGGCTGGGTTTAGAGTGACGGATATGATGTTTCCTCAAATTCACCTTTTTTCTGAAATAATTTAATATCCATTTGTGTAATACATAAATATTTACTTATTATGAAATTGAATTGAAGTACAAAGCATGATACCTTATTTTTCCCCTTTCTAGTTTGTAGCATAGTTGGGTTTTTCTGGGGTTCCCTACATGCACTCTTCATTGGCCTGTGACTTGCAACTTAGGTTTATGTTAAACCAGTTCATTTAAAAGTTGGAAATTTTAGATAGGCTACATTGGGTGCATGAATAATTATATGAATATTATTTTTTGGCAATAAAAGGATTAAAGGGAAATTCTTTATAATCTACATCCCCACGGCCCTAGCATTTGTTATGTAAATCATGCTTTATAAGGCAGAGGCTGCTTTTATTGCTTTGACAAACCCTTTACATCATTCCCATCCAGTCAGCATAATCATCAAAGTGGTATTAAGGGGATTTTTGGATTGTTCTTTATAATTCTTGTATTGCCTCTCTGATGTATAATAGTTCAGGAGACAAATTTTTAATGTTTTGCTGTTCTCCTAAAAAAAAATTTCAAATGTGAACAGTTTATTAAACAACCTCATCTCACCTACCTTTTCTTTCTTAATTCAAAGCCTCTGTTGGTCTTGTAACTTTGGACCTCCTTTGGAATTTAAATGATATAGACTAATGGGTATGTTAAACACTAGTGGGAAACACTGTAGACAGGTCTTTTCCACCTCAGGATAAGTGCAGCTGAACAGGTTGCAGACTCCTGGGAAGCCTCTGGTTTGTGATCAGGAGTGCCATTGACTAAGGGGTGGAAGGCCATTCATAATAGCACTTATTCTTTATTTGGGAAATTTGAGCTCTGATGATTTGGACCGTTTTCCTCTGTGGTAGGCAAGGTGGTGACCGAACAGTACTGGAGACTCAGAAGTGAATGTGTTTACCCAGAAAAACTTCTAACTGGGGATGTAGCTCAGTGGTAGAGCACTTGCTTCATGTGTGTGTAGCCCTTAGTTCAACCCCCAATACCACCAATAATAATAATAATACATAGAAATAAAATAACTCTTCTAGTTTTGCTCTCTGGGCCTCTGGCACAATTCCTATGGTTTTTGCAGCCAGATTAGAAACAGTACTCTCAGTTTAAGTTCAATTTTTGAAACCACAACTGTAAAAAAAACTGTCCAAATGAGAAAGTGTAAGGAAACATGCCTCGAAATCCATTGAAGACCATTAAAGTCTTGATGAATTGAGTTCAGCAAAAATGGCATAGTTGGGGTCAGAAAATCAAGAAGGCATGTTGTCCTCTAAAGACCTTGCCATGGTTGAACAAAACACTCGCATTTTAAGGTCTTTAGAGATGTTCGGGGACACCTCATTGAAAGGTTTTGATGTGGCTGTATATAATTTTTTTTAATCAACATACTGCAAATGGGCCCTTTGTTAGCCTAGGAACTCAAAATCCAGAATTTTAGGGTCAAAGAAACTTCAGTTTGGATGACAGAGACTGGTCTCAGTTAAATTACTGGACCATAAGCTGAATGTTTTCAGGAAAGATTAGTAATCTTTCTTTCTTTTTAAGTATTATTTTTCTTCCTTAAACATCTATTTTCATCCAACAAGTGTATGTTAATGAATAAAACATGATGAAAATAAATCAATTGAGAAAATCATATGGGGGGCCGGGGGATGAATTATTGGTGCAGTAATTCTGATGTCCTAGAGGTGGGGTAATCTATTGATATTTTCAAGGAATTAAAATAGCTCATTTAGATGGAAAAAAGGGACAGAATTGTGCTAAGTTAATTATAGAGTTTTTAATCTGTGACTAATTTAGGGTAAATTATATTAGAAAGAATAAATTGAAAGTATATGTTAACTTTTATTGTCAAGATCAATTGCATCTTTTGAAGATGAGTAATCCTTGCACTTTGTGTAAGGTCTTTTACTTTTCAAATTTTAGGTTCATGGCTAAAGACTAAAAATGTCTTTAGCTGGGTGGTAGTTTAGTCATTTCTGTTCTAATAAGACACATCTCATCTAATGGCAAATTCTTAGTTCAGTTGTCAGACCAGCTCTAGAAGGGCAGGAAGATGGTATGGATATGTATGGGCACCATTTTCTTTGTGGAAAGTTTGTATAATTTTCCATTAGAGATTAAACCAACCAACCAATCAATCTAGAGTTAAATAATGAGTTCTGTGTTGATAAATTTATGTAGAACATGTCTATCAGTTCTAAGGATCTGATTCTTTTTTTGTTTTTCATTGCTGGGAATTGAATCTAGGGCTTTACATGTGCTAGGCAAGTGGAGTTATGGCTCCAGCCCCTGGAGTCTTATTGTCTTATGTTAAATAGCTAAGCCCTAAGAGTATAATTGAAATAAACAAACAAGTCCCACTTATAAAATAATAAGACTGTGCACGTTTGATTCTGTTCTGCCTTCCTTGCTAGTGGCCTTATGATTCATAACGTTAACCACGCCCATTGCCTGTCTTCTTTCTACTCACTTTTCCCATTTTACCTTTAGGCTTGCTACACATCTTGCCAGGTGTCTACTTTATGAAATCAAGACTACAGTGGGCTATTGCCAGATCTCTTACATCCAAAGTGAAGGACTTTACCTTCTGAAACAGTATAAAATTTTCAGTGTCCTAACATTTCTTAATTAATGTCCTAAAACATTCGACAGTACCCCCAAACTCCCAATATATTCTCTCCTCAGAACTTGGATTGGCCATGTGTTCTGTAAGCATCAAAGTATTCACTATTTTCATTTATATGTAGTAATTTTTTCTCTCTTTGTTTTAGGAAGTTCGGCGCTCCTGGGTCACGACTGACTGGAGCAGGATGGGGTGGCTGCACAGTATCAATAGTACCTGCTGACAAGTTGCCCAGCTTCCTAGCAAACGTGCAGGAGGCTTACTACCAGAGGAGCAATCGCAGCTTAGCGCCGGAGAAGCAGAGTTTGTTTGTTACTAAACCTGGAGGTGGGGCTTTGGTTTTCCTTGAGGCCTAAACAATGTAAAATAACTCAGAGAAACTATTTAGGGCATTTAGAAACTGGCAGGACTTCCTATGCCACAGTAAATTAATCCTCTTTCTGTTTTATATTATGATGAATGCTTGCTATTATCAAGATGTATTTCCAAGGAAATGGTTGAAATCTCTCTATACTTCACAATGATTATTTTTCCATTTTAAAACATGTTTTTTTAAACCAATAAAAACAAAGATTGTGCTTGGACAGATCTTTTTTAAGGATGATTTACTAAAATGTATTGGTTTGAAGATTTTAAAGATGAATGGTGAAACAAACTGTTAATACATGGATTGGACTTGAATTAAACACACCACTATAATGTAACTATAATTAAACTGATATAATTGAATTGTATGCATTACTCTTAAATAAAGTTCATTTCTGTTCTTGATAAATGTTTTTCCTCAAAGTTGTAGTCTTCTGTTGATGATGATGATGATGATGATGTTGATAGTGATGCCACAAGTTCTCTCTCAATTTTAGCTTCAGCACCCTATGAAAATAATACATGGTTAAGGATTCACAGATTTTCTTGAACATTATTTACTTGAATGTGATTTTGCCCCATTTTGATTTCTGACTTGAAAAAAAGAACTATGTCTCAACTCTGCCATCACTAAGTGATCTAGAAATTATGAACGATATCAAATTTGTCTGGAAAGGATAGGGCAGGGACCACTGGAAAAAAGCTTTATGAAGAAAATGAAGTTTTGCCCTAATGGATGAGTAGAATTGGAAAGCTAGGGAGTATGTTTTGCAGATAAACATGGCATAGAGTGGAACTTGCAGACATGGGATGTTCAGAAGACTCAGTAAGAGTGAAGGGTTTGCTTGGTGATGTACTAAAGAATAATATTGGCTATAGTGGCTGGAAAAAAAGCTCCAAATCCAGGCAGAATTTAGTCGAAGGGTTGCAAGCAGGCAGCCCACAGGCCACATCTGGTCTTCAAATGTAATTTGGCCCATTGTATGTTTAAAACTTTGGGGTTTAAATCAAGAGATTCACAAAGAACCTGGATTACTGGTGGAAGATTGATGACACTTTGGCCTATGTTCCTGTAGGGCAATAATGAATGAGAGCTGAGGTGAGGCACAGCCCTCAGTGTACTGCAGTTTCCCTGCTGCTCAGACCATTCACCATTTACTTTTCCAGAGGCACTTTCTCCTTGCCAGCACATGTACACTGTTATTTTCTTATACTTCTCTGTGCCCATGTCTGTCAATAGTAGGAAAGACAAGATGAAGAAAAATCGGAGAAAGATTTTTTTTGTGTGTGTGGGGGGAGTGAAGAATAGTTCTATTTGTTTAATATAAAACATGCAAGAGTTTCTTTATTTTCTATCATTTTATTGGCCCAAATAAAATTTTGATTATTTGACCCATTTTTGATCCGTTACACTGGTCACCAATGGGATCGCTCTAGATTTTCAGGGAAACCTGATATGTGAAAATCCTGACCTCAGATTGTTCAATCTTCTGATTTCTTGTACACTGGTCTCTGCATGTTCTAATCCATTGGAAGGGAAAAGGCCCTTCACACTTAATAGAATCTCCCAGAAGGGAGGAGGAGCAGACGAGGAGGGGTCAAGGAAAGCAAAAAAGATGGAGCAGTCTCATTTTCTTTCCTCCCACATGTGACTACTTTTTAGAACCTTATCACATTCTGCCTTGAGTTTCTGTTAATTGAGGGCAGGGACCACTTATTTAACACAGCTGTTGGCATCCAATTTGCCTTTGTTGGATGATTAATGAAAATAAAATACAATTTCAGACACCAATAATTTTCTATTACTTTGTAATTCATACTGCATTCAAGAGATTTTTAGTTGAATAAATTGTCCCTCATCAGAAACAAGGAATGATGAAAACAGCATGAGATTGTCACTAAATATGTGAAACAGAGAGTATCTTACATGTGCATGTGAGTGATTAAATAACAGGAATGTGTTCTGTTTTTCCTCTGTAACTTGAGTGTGACTGTACATTGCTCATGAAATATTGTCAGGTCTATAGAAGAGGAAATCGAGAATTCTTGGTTATTTTCAGGAAGGAAACTTACCAGGCCCTGTAGAAATTTCTCCAAATCCTTCTTAACTTCTAAAGGTTTCTTGGTAGCCTTTTTGTAGAGTCTATGGAATAAAGAAAATCAGTAACCATACTAATCATCTTTATACTATCCAACAGCCAACATTTATCAAGAGTTTTATATGCTATGCATTTGCTAAGCACTTTACATATATTAATTCAGTTACCCTTTTGATAATCTTATGAAGTAGGAACTACTTTTATCTATTTTATCAATGAGGAAACGGGTTCAGATAGGTAAAGTAATCCCTCTTGCTCCATATTCATGCAGCTAGAAAGTAGATGATGTGGACCCAAGTGCTTGATTCCCGCTCTCAATTCCAACCACCATGTGACTTTCCTTCGGCAGTGGAGCGCCCTCTTCAGGCAGATGGTCCACGCAGCATTACTTTCCTTAACTGATTCCACAGGCTTCAGCTTGAACTTAAGGAGTGAAGGTCGGGAGGGAGGAGTAAGAGACTATCAAGGGAAGAATGTGGGAAAGCAAAAGAGGGAAATGAAAAAGGTCGAGGGTGCTTACTGGACTAAGTTCACTAAGGGTAGAGGTCCAGGAATCTATCATGGTTTCTGTTACCAAGAATTCATTTGAGAAATATTTATTAAGGGGCTAATGGTTGAATTCAGGAGGCAGTAGGAAGCCTTCCAGAAATCTTAGGATGAGGGGAGAAGCAGAGTAGGTCAGGAAGGAAAAGTAGGAACTTGGGACAAAGGTGAAACATTAGTAAGAGAAACATAGATGAGGGGAAAAAAGTGAAAGGAGCATATAAAGCTATTAATCTCACTAGAATTTTCATGTGAAACACCTTAAAATTATTTTTCTATGAAACTGGTAGGAAGTATAATTTTTTGACAATTCAAGAAACACTTTGCTGAAACAAAGCAAAACCCTAGCAAGGCATGTTCTAGATTTCTTAAGTGTTTAGGGTAAACCTAAGGGCACAACAGGGCCACCTAGCTAGAGAACTTGCACTAGTACTCTGACTGAATAAAGTCCCTCCTGCATTCTCTACCTCTGCCAACTTAATCTCCTCAACCTGGGTTTTCTCAGTCATTACCCTCTTAGTCTCACGTCTGTCTTTCTCTGCCTGTCTCAAATCTGGCTCTTACAATCCATAATTCTAGTTAGACATACTCCCAAATATCTCTGGTGCCCTTTCTCAATGACACCCTTTTAGAGTCTCCTTGGGTGCTATGTTATCTTTGGACTCAATTTCATCTCACTTTGTTAAAAGCAATGTATGTTTCCACTTCACTCTTTAAAATTACTGTCCCCTCTCAAAAATAAAAGACAAGTTTTACTGAGATGTAGTTCACATACCATAAAACTCACCCTTTTCAAGTATATAGTTAAAGGTTTTGGTATATTCACAAAGTTTTGCAACCATCAACACTATCTAATCCTCTTCTTTCTGATTGCCCTTCCCCTCATGAATCTCTTTGAACATTATAGAAAGGAGCTAATATGCTGTGCCTATATACTTAACAGGCACTTGGGGTTAAATATCCAATAGTAGTTTCCCCTTTATTTTCTCTTAACAACGTTCCATTGAATAAAACGTGAGCGCTTCTTTGACATTACTCCAAGAACCGTACTACATTCTTCTGCTTCTTCTCAGTGGTGAGAGATCTTGTCCTATGTGGATTTGGTTTTTTGGAACTTTGTAAGAGTTACCTGGAATCAAACTTTATAATAAATTATAAACACAAAAAAGGTGTTGCAAAGGGCAAAGTTAGCTGATGATGTGTTTGGTAAAAGGTAAGATAAGATTCTACAATAATATGTTGGATTTTCTCATGTGACTGGGAAACTCACTTTGAGTTAGTGAGACAGTATGACTAGCACAAAGTCACGGTTCCCAAAGGGGCTGTCTGAAGGGCTACTCTCATCTGATACTTATTCTCGTGCATGTGGATGTGTTGGAAGAAGTGGGTTAGTCTCAATACTTTATAGTTTTCCTTTTTATGCTCTAACTTATAAAATAAATAAAGTGAATCCAATTTTCATTGTTTCATTGGGGACAAATGTTTGTGTGTCAGGGAAGCAGCAGGGGCAGAAGGGGCAGAAGAACCTAGGAAAGAAGAGCTAAAAACTTTGTTTTTCTAGTTTATATCCTTCCTAGAGAAGGGCATGGTTATGGTTTTATTTTTAAAAGAGTTTGAGATTAAGTCTAATGGTTAGAGAACTAAAAATACATGATGATAATGTTTAACAATAAAATTAGAAGGGTAGGTGATATTTTGGATAAAAAAATCTAAAGTGTTACTACAGATGAACTGTTAAAAATAACACGCCCTTTGTAGACATCCCAGTTGATATATTTTTTACAGAATAAACCCATCATGGTTTTACATAACACATGCATTCAATTAAAAATGATTTTAAGCACTACAAAGTCAAACAAGAAACAAACCTATCAAGCTCCTTGACAATTCTTCGATGGCGCTGTCTTATGTGTTTTATTTCTTCGTCAATTATTTGCTTTTCTCTATAAAATCAAAGTTTGGAGTTAAATTATAAAACAAAGCAATCAATCCTAATTAATCAACAATTTAGTGACATCTGCATGTCAGTAAAAGTTCTTTATAGACCCATTCCATCCATCCCTATGGACTTCTTAGTGTCAGGATTGCCCAGCACATTTTCCTCAGAAGCATATGCCAAAGGCACCACCCAGTATCCCTCTGGTGGCCTGGACACTGCACAGACAACCCCCCCCAACTCCGCTTCTGCAGGGCTTCCTGGGAAGGTGTCCCTCCCTGCTCTTCCCACTAAGCCTAGGCTCCTCAGGCGTGTGTGTGTGTGTGTGTGCCTGAGTGTGTGTGGGTGAGAGGGGCCTGGGGGCCTATGGAAAGCAGGGGCTGAGACTTTTTGTTTACTGGATAGACCCAGCTGGCTGCTCTTCCATTTACTTCTCTTGTTCCCTGAACAACATTAGGTATCCAAAGCTGAGGATGCCCGTCCTCTCTCTCCCCGACGGCATCAAAATCTTTGAGACAATGGACAGAAGGAGGATCCTGCCAATTTTTTCTTGGTAAGTTCATGGGCATTGTTTCACAACTCATTCCTAATTTCCTAGCACATAAAAATACCATGACTAGCTATGAGCAATCATTTAAATTATGCACAGAAAACTGAAAATGTTTCCTAAGAATACATTTCAGAAAAGACTTTCCTGTCCCGCTTTCCTCACTGCCACCCCAGCTGCCACCCCACTCCTACTGCAGATAAGTTTTTTGCTTTTCTTCCAGGACTCATCTCTGCACACGGATGATACTCTGATCTCTTTTGCCTGGAGTGCTGGCCCCTCTG